AACTCAAACTCAATAACAATCAATTGGAAAAAAGACTGTACATATTTATTTATTTACACAGGAATCAGTGTGTTAGATTGGTTGTAAATGCAGTCAAGCTGTTTTATATCTTATCTTATGAAGTAGTTTAAATTAGCAAGTGATGAAGTCACAAAATATGGTTGTGCTTTATGCTAATTTGTATATTATGTAATGAAAGTAGCCATTTGATCATTTGTTTCTTGTATAAAATATTTGGTTTAAATCAATTACATTTTTTTTAACTAGGCTAATGCATTTTTTACCTAAGTATAAAATGTGACAGTCAATCATTTATTATTATTTGATTACTTTTGTTTAATTTGAATGGCCACGGATCTCAGGTGCAGTTCAATCATTTGCAGTGTGCTACTGAATTAAAAAAAAAAAATTTATTCCATCATAATTCTGTAATAAACCACCTTTTTATAGTACAAAAATACTTAAAAGCCAAAGTGGTCTCATGTTTTTCTTATTATGATGTCAGCAAATGTGTAATATTTTTTTTAAATGGGGCCACACTTGCGTTATAAGCTTTGACGTACCCTGTCACAAGCTTGGTCGCATAATGAGATTCAGGATGGGTGCAAATCTAATTTAGAATAATTTTTACGGTGGCACTGAATCTCTGACATGACCATCCAATCTACATAATGTTTTCAAAATGATGCATTGTGACCCCCTCCCCCCAACCCATCCACTCGAATAAATTTACAATTTTGGGCTTGTGCAATATGATACGAGTATTAATATGAATTAATATTAATAGAGCTTTAGGAGAAAATATATGGGCAGTATTTCTCCGAGATATTTTCTGAGAAGAATTGAAGTGGTAACAAACACTGAAGAATATTCTAATAATCCAGCATGATCTCTGCATTTAGGCTGCATGCATTTTGATTTTCTCTGGTATGGATTCTGTACTGATGTTAGCATTTGATTTTTCTCAGAGAGTTGTTTACATTGCAGTAAAGACACATTGACTTTGTTATTTCTATTCAGTGTGCTCTTAAACGTTTTGTCTTTTGTCATTTTTTAATGCCTCATACTGTAGCACTCTTCTTGTGTTCAGATTGTTTAGACTAGATGCATTTCCTTAGTATTTCTTGAAATATTTTCCTCATGTTTTCAACTGTAGAAACAAATAAAGAATATAATAGATACTTATGGCCTATCAAGCATGTTGTGTCTTGTTATGAAACCTCCATAATATGCTTTTATTAAAAAAAAAGTTCAAATCTTTGGATATTTCCCCAACTAAACAAACTGGAAATTCTCGACATTCTCGAGTCTTCTATTAACCACAAAAAAAGTCACAAATTAAATATAAAATATGAATATTTTTCATATTAAATAATATTATATTTTATAATAATGATGTATTTATCATAATAGAATTATTAATAATGATATCAGTAATAATAATATAATGAACATAATATATAAAATAATATAATTAAAAAATATATAATTATGTGTGTTTATGTATTTATTTGTACCCTAATAATAGTATAAAATAACAATGAAATATATTTAAAAATAATTATTTTAATAACACGTTTAATATTTTATTTTAAGTGTGTATATTGAAAAAAAAATATTTGAGAATTGTATTATTATTATCATTTATTTGTATCTTTGCCAAATAGGCCCTTAATACACAACTCCCTTTAGTTCTGATTGACTGGGACACACTAATATACAGGGCTTTAGAGGCTCAAAGCAGGAAGGCAGGAGAGAATCAAGTGATAGTCTAAAGAATGGCAGGAAAACAGCAGCGCCCAATGGGCAAAGCCAGGAAGGATTCTTTTCTGGAAAAACAAGGCTATTTTGGATGAGGTATTGTGGCAAATATTTTGTCAGGAGCAAACATTCTTTGCTTTCTAATAACATCTCTACAAAGGAAATCTCGCCTCGTTCGCCTCATTGCTTGACAAGTTTATGAGGGGTTGTAAACTGGATCAACATTTTTTAAATTCACCCTCGCTGTCAAAATCATCAGTATAAAAAGAAGTATTACTAGAGTTTCACTGCAAGCTTTTTTGATGGAAACTGCCAACATAAATCAAAAACCCACAAAACTGTGTGGCTGAATTCCATTCATTCACATGCATACAGTCATTCAGAAGATGATGTTTGGAAGCACTTACATATATTGTTCAAGCCCTTTCAGCGCAGTTATTCATAGGGAACACAATCTCTTAATATTTTATTTTAAGTGTGTATATTGAAAAAAAAAAATGTGAGAATTGTATTATTATTATCATTTATTTGTATCTTTGCCAAATAGGCCCTTAATACACAACTCCCTTTAGTTCTGATTGACTGGGACACACTAATATACAGGGCTTTAGAGGCTCAAAGCAGGAAGGCAGGAGAGAATCAAGTGATAGTCTAAAGAATGGCAGGAAAACAGCAGCGCCCAATGGGCAAAGCCAGGAAGGATTCTTTTCTGGAAAAACAAGGCTATTTTGGATGAGGTATTGTGGCAAATATTTTGTCAGGAGCAAACATTCTTTGCTTTCTAATAACATCTCTACAAAGGAAATCTCGCCTCGTTCGCCTCATTGCTTGACAAGTTTATGAGGGGTTGTAAACTGGATCAACATTTTTTAAATTCACCCTCGCTGTCAAAATCATCAGTATAAAAAGAAGTATTACTAGAGTTTCACTGCAAGCTTTTTTGATGGAAACTGCCAACATAAATCAAAAACCCACAAAACTGTGTGGCTGAATTCCATTCATTCACATGCATACAGTCATTCAGAAGATGATGTTTGGAAGCACTTACATATATTGTTCAAGCCCTTTCAGCGCAGTTATTCATAGGGAACACAATCTCAAAGAAACACCCTTTTAAAAAAATGTAATAAAAAAATATGCCACTGATTCTGCACATCGAGTGTAATTTGTGTCCCTCATATACTGTACATGTCTGTAGAAAAAAACTAAAAAAAACTTTATATAGATTCACTAGTTTGGAAGTTTGGGATAAGTACTTTTTTTGTTCATTTTATTTTTATTTAAAGAAATTAATACTTTTATTCAGGAGGTATGCATCAACAAAGGTTAAGTAACGATTTCTATTTCAGTTAAATGCTGTTATTTTGAACTTTCTATTAATCAAAGGATCTTGAAAGACACAAAACTATTTTAAATATTGATAATAAATGTTTCTTGAGCAGCAGATCAGCATATTAACTTATGAATGATCATGTGACACTGAAGCCTGGAGTACTGATGCTGAAAATTCACTACATAAAAAAAAAATATTAGTTTTATTTTTTTTATTAAATACAGTGGCAAGTAGAAGAAACATCTTTCAAAAACATTTTACTTTTAAAATGTATTAATTTTTCTGGAAAATGCACAGTGCAGCTAATTAACATTTAAACGCTTTATTTGTGTGATATATTTAAAATCTTAAAAATTGTTCATTTTCCAATAACCTTTTAAAATGAAGAGAGTTTTTTTTCTCAGGCAGGCTGCAGTAACTACTGACAAGTGCGTCAGGAGAATCTAAAACCTTTACATCCAGCCAGTTTAGACCCATTCATTTTGGGCAAACAATTAGAGTACAATGTTCTTCCAAATGATAGCTGCCAAAATCATGCTTCTGTGAAACCCACAGCTATTCAAAGGGTCTCGGCGTTCCTTGCCTAAGGCGACGGCTTTCATCTTGGCTGTGGGGACTAATTGACGGGGATCTTCAAATGCGTCGCTAATGTTGTGAGCATCTGTGAGAGAGACGATGTAAATGTGCTCACTCTTGCCTTTTAAAGTCCATGATGTATGATGAAGAACAGCTCACATAGAAGTTACTTTCAAACCAAGCAGCGTTTTGTTGGTCAACAGGGTGAATTCACGTAAGCAACTTGAACATGATGTGAACAAATGCCTCCCTGTGTCGATTTCTATTGAAATGACTGGATTTTGCCTGAGAAAATTCGCCGAACAAAAGTAAATGTGACCGAGAAAGAGAAAGGGTGGCACAGTTTGGGGTCATAATATTGAGTGATTCTGTCAGTACAACATCCTGGTCCCTCCAAAGGCCGCCTACCAGTCTTTTCCTCTTTAAATATTGTGATTTAGAGTTTACATCAACTGTATCGCTAAATAACAGGGACAAAAGGTCAGCATTTTGGAAGAGAGAGATAAAAGATGAACACTATAGCTACTGGCTGCTGCACAGAGGTGTGCTGACAGAGAACAACAAACTTTTGAATCCCTGGCGGTCACGAGTAAGAGGAAAATTTCACATCTGCAAGGCTATGGATACTTTCCTGTGCTATTGACTTTGGAAAATTAGCACACTTTGGGGGTTTTCGCTGAGGAGAAGAGGAATTTCGACCGCTGACTTTCCCATAGTAATCTTTTTTGAGACTTCGGTCAAAGGTCAAGTCATGTTTCTGGTGTGTAATTTCATATGCAGTGGTAATTTTTTGTTTTATTTTAACGCCCGTGAAAATATCCGGTCATACTATTATTAATATTTTTGATTGTACAGATTTTAGGGTTTGTTTTCTACCTAAAAGGACATAATTTATAACACAGTGCATTCGGAATGTAAAAGAAAAATAGGTATGTGACAATCTATTATTACCAACTGTGTTATTAGGCCAGGCAGCCTCTGAGGCCATTAAGAATTGTTGTTTTTTTTGTGACAAACCCTCGTAACAAGAGACCTGGGTGGAATATATTCTCGCTGACACCGTGAACACAAGCTCTAGTTTCAGTTTTGGGAAATTATCAACACACCTTATGCTGTAAAATTATACCGTGATGATGGACAGCAGCCCTTGACTGCTTAGTAGACCCCACAATTATTATTGTTCGCGAGCTGGAGAACTTCAAAAGAGATGCCTGAGTGACGTCACCTCACGGTCCCACAATATTATTACAGAGAGAGAGAGAGAGAGAGAGTGAGAGAGTGAGAGTGAGAGTGAGAGAGAGAGAGAGAGAGAGAGAGCTTTTATTCCTCATCTCGGACGATGAACAGAGTAGTTGTAGCAAAAGGAGCCTGAGAACGTATTTTACATTGGTAAGTTGCGAAAATGCTTTTATTATTTAATGAATGTGCATATTAGCAGACTCTTTGCATGCCACAATTAACTAGTTGACAACAACAAACGCGTTTGCGACTTTAAATCTGTTTTTGTATAAATCTGATAACTTTTTATTACATACGTTTTACCATAGTCGTTAAACTACTTTTTATGTGGCTTAATTGTATAGCTAGTTGTATCCTTTTGACTTACGCCTCTGCAATCGTTTAACCAGCAACTTAATGCAGTTCTTGTAGAATAGCTAGCCTATCTGATGATTATGTCGTTTATGGCGAGCAAGTCAAACTATTTTTTTTTTTGAATAAATCAGACTTAAAAAGTGCTAAAAGCTAAATATATGTTGGGTTATATTTGATTGCTGAACTCCTTGCTGATCTTTACTCATCTTGGGTTGTCTTCAAATTCAAGGACGCTGCTGGAAAGCTGTGGGATACAGGGAATCATCGTGAATATGTGGATTTTACGCCATCTGCTGGTGCTTTTAATGCACCTGGTCCTCGGAAGCCTTGCACAGCGATTCTCCAATGGCTATTATTATCAGGACATAGTTAATGGAAATGGAAATGGAAATGGCAATGGGGAGAGTAAGTTAGCCTAATCATTTCATGTTTTCATGTGTGCAAAATACTGTAACAAACCAGCAAACAAAAGCTAGTTTGCTGATACTATAGTATGACATGTAGCCTACGTAGAATCAACAACATTCTAACTTTTGTCACTTATCATAGAATAAAATTGATATAAATTGTAAAGTTTTTGTATATATTTTTTAATTGTTTAAAATTTCTGAACAAGCATATTTGTTATAAACTCAGTGGGAATTATAGTTATACAGTATATATTTGTATAGTAATAATCAGTGTTGGAGAGTAACTATAGTTAGCCTACATACAAAAATTATTTTAAGATTAACTATTTTTTCCAAGGCATTGTTAGATGCCAGTGTTACCAGCTGTAGCTATACAAAGATTTGATTTAAAAAATCATAACTATTAAACTATATCTTATGATTTTAAATCTGTAGCCTATTTAACCTCGGAACAATCTCAAAGTAAAAAGAAGTGTGACTAAAGTCCAATTTTGTGGTGGCTGTGCTTTAAAATTAAATTATTATAATTTTAATTCAAGTGATGAAGGATTTTGTGTGTTGAGTACTACTGTAATGTTTACCCTGCCTGATTTAAATGTTTGAAAATGATGAACATTAAATGATGAATGAACAGTTAAAAACATTCTAATTTTAGAAAAGCAATCAAAAAGTAATCAAATGTAATTAGTTACATTATTTTGATAAAGTAATTGAAATAGTTACAGTACTTATTACATTTGAAATAGGTAACTTGTAATCTGTAACCTATTAGCCTACATTTCCAAAGTAACCTTCCCAACACTGGTAATAACATAGTTTTAATATACATTTAGGATGGTTAAGACATCACAAAAATGTGAACTCTATCACAAATCCATCAAAAATTCACTTTTGCATAGTTGAACAAACAAACATAGCCTACAATATAACAAATAATAGCCTACTTTACTCTCTTTGAAGAGTTTATTCACTTACTTAATGTTTATTTTTAGTCTACTTCCACAAGATCCGTCTTCACGTTGAGTCTCCTGAAACTCTAGTGTCGGCTGTCCAGGGGAGTAACGCTACACTGCCGTGTCATTACCGCTACGAGCCTGCGCTCAGCGCGCCGCGCAAAACGCGGGTCAAGTGGTTCTGGCAGCCGGTGAGCGGCGAGGGGCAGGAGCGTGACGTCATGGTGGCCATCGGCACACGTCACCGGAGTTACGGAGACTTCAAAGGACGAGTGCGGCTCCGCCGAAGCGCCCCGGGCGATGCGTCTCTCGTCATCAACCCGCTACAGTCCGACGACACCGGCCGTTACCGGTGTGAAATTATTGATGGTCTAGAAGACGAGAGCGTGACGGTGCAGCTGAAGTTTCGAGGTGCGTCACAGATTAACTCCTATCTAAAGCAAAGTGCGTTACAGCTACCTAAACACTATCATTTTATTACTTTAAGATGTAGTATTATATTATCAATTATATATTGTATTAATATAGTATTTTATATAGTATTTATATAAAATGTTTATATTAACAATTTATTGTCTGATATTAACAACTACAAAATCTATGTAGGCCTATATTTGTAGCCTAGCCTACTTTATTTATTTATTATATAATTTATCCCCCCAAAAATTGGCAAACCCTAATTATCTAATTATATTTAATGATCTTTTATCTTTAACAAAATTTTGCTAATCTTCAGTGCTCTTGTGCTCCACAGGTGTGGTGTTCCCCTATCACTCCTCTAGGGGGCGCTATCTGATGAACTTTCATGAGGCTAAGGAGGCATGTGAGAAGCAGGATGCACACCTGGCTACTTTTGAACAGCTCTACGCTTCTTGGGATGAAGGGCTGGACTGGTGTAACGCTGGGTGGCTCATGGATGGGACGGCACAATATCCCGTCGTAGAGCCACGAGAGGCTTGTGGTGGCACCGAACTGGCACCTGGTGTACGGAGCTACGGCGTTCGGGACAAAAGTCTGGACCGGTTTGATGCCTTCTGCTTCACTTCGTCCATTAGAGGTAATAACGTTTGTATATATTTAGTGGAGTTTTTATGTATCCTCATATAACTTCATCTAGTCCTGGCTTATGCTGATTGGTTTCCGTGAAATCTGGTCAGACAAACATTTAAAATTTTCCATAGCTGTGCTTTAACAGGTGTTTTACTTTTTTAATTCGGACAAAGATGAATTAATGGTAATTTCGGCTCAGGATACAGTACATGTGGCTGCAATTGCTCATTCTGGAAAATGTTCCTATTTTAAAAATACAAGTTGAGGATGACAAGTTGGGTGAACCTGGCAACAAGGATTAATTATAAAATGGCCGTCTTCCTTGTTTTCATCAGTCATGCATATGTTTTAAAGCTGTTTGCCTTGATATGTCAGTCGTATTTTGTTACCTTGGGTCAATTATTGGCATTAATTTCTGAGGTTAAGTCATATTTATTTTTAAGTTGCCAAATATGATGTGACAAGTTACTTTATGTCTTTCTTCAATGTCAGGAGAGGTCTACTTCCTGCAACATCACTTCAAACTAAATTTCACAGAGGCGGTGGAGGCTTGTCAGAGCGATGGAGGTCGTATTGCTAAAGTTGGCCAGTTATACGCAGCCTGGAGGTTTGTGGGATTGGACCAGTGTGATGCAGGCTGGTTGGCTGACGGTAGTGTACGTTACCCAATCATCCAACCCAGGATGAACTGTGGTACATCAGAACCAGGGGTGCGCAGCTTTGGCTTCCCTCCAAAGCATTTAAAACATGGCGTGTTTTGCTACAAAGTCCGCTGGTAAAATATACAATTCATTTTAAATGTATAAACACTTTTGTGAAAACCACAGTGAATAGTACTTCTTTTTCTACACTATTGATTTTCAAATCATAATAATGTGTTTGTATTGTGTCTTGTTTTGATTTGAAATGTCCTGGAATTCCTACCAAATTTACACTGCAAAGCTGGCACAGAGGTGCTTCTGAAGTGGCATTTACACAGTTTAATGCTGCTCAGAGGTGGCATAAATGCATTTACACAGCAAATACAATTGTATGCTTGGTATTAAGAGCTGAGGTAGGTCAGAGCCAGCTTAATTTAGTCTTTAGTTTTATGCAGCATTATGTCTTTACACACAATTTTGAGCAGGCACAGAACAGCCCTAACTCAGCTGTGTAAAGATGCCTAAAATGTTCTGTTGGAAAATTTAATTTCAAGTGCTAACTTGGATATTTACACTTTAAAACTTAAAACAGAATGAAGGTTAAAACTAACTTTGTGTGGTCATCACTTTTTATACAGCATGTACAGTTCTACTATGTTTTAGGCCTAAATCCTGAAATTGATGGTGGGTGATTCTTTAAACACTTTTGTGATCTGATTGCTTGTATTATGTAGCATTTTAATGCAAATAATCAGTTAGTCGGTGCCATCTGCTGGTATGCATGTATGCATGACTTCTTACTATTATCTGAGACGTCGTAATCCAAAAAGCCAAATTTCATGTCAATAAATATTTTTTCCTAAATAAACTATTCTGTACGTGTTTACTTTAGTCATTTCAAATGTTCAGACAACTCAATAAATCAGTGCGTATTTGTGTTTTGGAACAAGTCAGCCTTGTCCCCATAGATAAGCATGATATTCAAGTAAGTTTCTTATCCTGACCAGCAGGCGCACCAAAGTGAGTCAGCGGAATCCTGCCAAAGCCACTAGAAGGCAAGCCTGCAACCAACCATTAGCCGAAAAAGCGTAACGGCTAAAGCTAACGCTTCCGGTCTGGCAGTAGGTGAGAAAGGAGATCAGAGGCCCTTTTTTAATGGATGCCAATGGAGGAGAGGCTTCACTACGCTGAATAAACTGCTTTTAGAGGAAACGGCTTATCATGTAATGAATCGACAGCCTATCTGCTAATCTTCAACATGTTTTACACGAAATAATACTTTTGGATTGAACTATTTTTAGAGTTTACCACAAAAAAAAAATCAGTTTTATAAGAGAAGTCACTGACTTTTTGCGACAGGTGGGATTCAGCTTACGGCACTTCTCATTCATTCCTATAGAGCTCCGGACGTCACGAGACCCATTCTGTTTACACCACCATGCTGGCAGGCAGGGACAGCCGGGAGCGAGTGAATATGAAATGAATGGCGCCAGCATGAGTTTCAAGGCAACAGAGTTCACTGCATACTTTAATTCAAAAGACATAGACCTGTACATAGCATAACAGATCCCTATAATGCCCCTGTGGTGCTTTTAACGTGTTTCAATAAAGTAATGGATAGATTTCCTGACCAGTATCCTGATATCTACAACCTCATCAACTTTCCCTCCTAACGTTACTCCGGAGACTCGTTAAAAGCCTACAAAAGCCTGGAGGGGTACAAATGGATGCAATCTAATTTTTCGATGAATATTCAACCTGCTATGTCGTCACTGGAAGGGTAAGTCAACTGTGTTGTTAGCTAACGTAATCGACCCTAGCTGTCCTTGTAGGAAGCCAGCATAGCTATATCACTGTGAGTACAGTAGACATCATAAATGTCATGAAATCTTACCCGTTTAATCCCAAATTTTGTGTTGGTTAGCATGTTTTATTGCAGTGAACCATTTTAGTCGTCTATCGGGATCCTTAGGAATACGATAAAATGATTTCCCCTTTGCTTTATTGGACAATCGCGTATATATATATAAAAATACGACATTGCGAAAATTGCGACATTGGCGTATTATATATATGAAAATGTGTATTTTTGAATTAAAGATAAGTTATAGATTTAATATGGGCTGCTTTTGGTGCTTGACACTTTTTTTATTGGTCATTTTGTGTGTTTTACGAATAAGAGTAAGAGAATAAGACTATAAGGTTAAGAAGCTTACATTTTACGTAAATGTAAATTGTTATTTCTCTATTTTGCAATAAAAGACGGCTTCCCTGATTGATCACGTCTCGGGTAGATTGCATGTTTTCTTGCGCGGCTGGATGTTGGACTCATGAAAAATAATCACGTAGTTTGTATTTGCCAAAACTGATTTACTGAAGTCAAAACATGGACGGAATTGGCGTTAGCGCGAGCTCTGCTTAATTGTGAAGTGGGAGCGACCAGCCAGCAGAGGATTCTGCAGCCTTCCTCAAACAGTTATGTTCAGGATTTTCTGATTTACTTAACGAATACTGCGTGAGGGGGCAAGAAACAGGCCAAGGGAGGTCACGTACGGGACACATAAATTAAGCCCAATTATACGGGATGGTTGGCAACCCTAGCCCCTGGCATCCTTGCGCCCAGCAGCTGTCCACCATGTTGAAATAGTAAGGTTTGTAAGGTCTAAATAGTCTGGTTTTAAATTATTGTTGTACAACTGTCGATACCAATGCTACAGCCGCTCTAGCGCTCTCCTGATGGCCTGCCAAAATGGCGGAGTTTAGATTGCGTGACGTCAACCTCCGGAGCTCTATGGTATCCGTAAACGGCGATTGAGTGTCGCACAACTCTGACTGAAATTCAATGGCGTCAAGGCTGTAATGTGATCTGTTATTAAGGGACACGTGATCCAAGTTAGCCGTTATGCTTTCTCCAATAGTAAGTAATACAGACCCTCTCATCTCCCTATAGTAAGATAATCTCTGATCCCGCCGCCCCGCGTCAAAGAAGTAAAACAACAACAACACACACTCGGTTTAAGAGCAACTCAACATCCTTCATGCCGGTGTCACTGAGTTTCTCTTTAGCCTTAAGCCAGTTATGGGAGGGGATATGATTACCCCACCCTTTCCACAGGATTTCATGATCCCTTGGCGTCAAAGTTGTTCTTTATTTACACCTGCTTCCCAAACATGAATGGAAGGCAGGGGAGGAATAGCACATGAAAAGCTAGCAGTGTTCCTCAGTCTGGCTTTTTCACTCTGCTAACTGCTCATAAAAGATGCACAGTGTTAGGTAAGAGAGGTATATAAAGAACTTTTAGTTTTTTTCTTATCCCTTGAGAAAATGTCATGAAGTAGGCACTGTTTTGTTTGCCGTATAATTGAGGTCTTGGATGTTGAGTAAATGTTGGGTCATGTTCACATATACTGTCCTTTTTTTGACCCGTCTCAACAATATACGTTCGATAGATACTATGTATGTAGTATATAAAAGGCTCTATGTGTATATGGTGTAAATACATATATGCAGTGGCCACAAAAAGTATTTGGACATTTAAATTAATCATGCATCATTTGTTGCAAATGCCACTTGATTTGATAGGCTATATTCTATCTAAAGCAATGATGTACTTGTCTAAACATTATTTGGGTGCACAATGTACAGCATGAAAATTTAACATTTCCTAATTTTGTAAATATTTTTTCCAGGCATGGAAACAGTGACAATCAATGAAAGTGTTAAAAAATAATTGAAAAGTCATGTAAATTTGTGTTGATATTGCCATTGTTTGTTCAGTCTCCATAAAATCTGTATCTAATCACAAATAATTGAAAATGTCATGCCGGAGAAGTTATGTAAATACATTGGTCAGGTTGTGGGAACCCTGAATAGAGTAAACATTCAACTTAATCCTTATGATAATTTGGGGTAGAATTACTGTTTATATATTGACTAAATAGAGGCTAAGTTCCAAGCATAAGTTTCTCTTAACATTTCTCTTTCTCTCACACAAACTCACCATACAACCACTTAAATATTAAGTGCATTGTTTTTTGTTATGCTAAAATGTTTTCCATCCCAGTTTAATATGCAGAAAGAACTACAAGTCAGTCGCTGATATGTTTATTTCCCAGAAAAGTGTGAACAGTGTGGCTCTGTGTGTTTAAGCATCCCGATCAGCCCGACAACAGCAACATTGGCTCATCCAATAGCAGACATTTTGGGTGGGACTGTCTGTTTGTTTGACCAATGGCAGAGGGAGAGAATGTTTGGAAAAGCTTTTTGAAAACAGCCATTAATTTTGCAATGCAGTTTGTTGATGCTAGTGGCAAAGAAATTACACATTTCAGCTTTAATACCACTCTCTGGTATTAAAAGAAAAATGACTTTATTCACACATTTAGTCTGTTTATTTTAAGGGTACTAAGACAGATATGAGCTCAGCGTAGAGCTGACAGTGACAGAGTGCAAAATGAATGAGAAATTGCTCTATTGGAAACGATTGACTCTGTCAATCAACATTGCGGCACACACTATGTGTGTTGGCTTTTTAGTATGGACTTTTAAACTCTTTTAGGCAATTTTAAAATTCCCATCTTGTAATCCTGTCTCATTTGAAAATGTATGTTTGTCTCTATAGGCAATATTAGAGCTTAAATCTGTTATGGAGGCCAAGCCGAATCATATGAACTTGTGAATTAATAAATCTTTCTAATCTGAGTAAACATTTGTATACTATTGCAAGTTGACCTAGAATCAGAAGCAAAAAGCTGGGGAATTTATCTTTCACAGTTTCACAGAAACACAACTAGACATTTAAACTACAACAAACAACAAAACACATAAAAAGACACATCTAAATAATTTGAAATACTAATGTACTTAAATGTAATTGTGTCCAGCTGTGGTCATTAAAGCCTTTTGTCTTGTTCTGAACTTTATTGTTACCCAGAGGTACACAGACAGTATTACCTTTGTGCTATCTAATGCACAGATGTTCACTTCGCATACTGTCTGCCCTAAATAGTATGCCAGGTAAGGATTTTTTTTGCATCCCAAATCATAATATGTTGAAAAAAAGTATGCCAAAGGTGCCAGGATGGTACACTATTTCTGGCAGATTTCCAAAGTTCATCTGTGCTCTTTGGGCTAATATTGCCCACAATCCCTTGTGTCCTCCTTTTAAACTGTATAAAATAAAAAGGAATGCAAGGCCAATGTTGCCACATGTAAATGTATGAACCTAAAAGTTAAGCTAAGGTAATTATGGAGCTCGATACAAACGCTTACATTCAAATGGAAACGGTATGCGACAATACTAAACACTAAAAAATGTCCAAAAACTGTTATTGTGTTTCTACATATTTAAAAATGTGCATTTTCCAATCATCAATGTAGAAAAAAAAAGTGTCTCATACGGCTCCGGGGGGTGAACAAAGGCCTTCTGTAGCGAATCGATGCACAAAGCCGACCTCCATACGTCATCCGCCCGGAACTTCTTCCCTTTACAACAGTGAGCGCAAGCTACATTAAAGTCATTATTACGTTTTAAATATGGATATTTTTCTTTCAAAAATGCATCGATTCGCTACAGAAGGCCTTTGTTCACCCCCCGGAGCCGTGTGAGACACTTTTTTTATGGATGGGCGCTTTTTATTTAATTTGTTTTGGACTGAAGCATGCAACACCTGCCGAGTGCCATGAAACAGCTTGAAAGATCAAAGACAGATTTTTATATAACTCCGACTGGATTCGTCTGAAAGAAGAAAGTCATATACACCTAGGATGACTTGAGGGTGAGTAATTTATGGGCTAATTTTCATTTTTGGGTGAACTAACCTTTTAAGTATGAAATAGGGGCGAAATTGGGGATTGTAGAGGCAATGTTTATTCTGCATAATTCTGCACTACCTTTACTATTGCTGCAGTATGTAGTATGTATACTGTGCAGAGTATGCAAATTTTGTCACCTTTGCTCATATGCCGAGTAATAGGTCATGTGATGGTCATGTCAATGCCTACTCTTTCACTTATTTTTATTTATTTTTTTAAATGGTAGGCAGTATACTGTGCCATATTCACTAAGTAGTAAGCTAGTCTTCCATTCTGAACATACATAGCCACATCACAGTTTTGGATTGTGCCAATTGTTAGAGAGAAAGTGGGAAAATGTCCACACAAGTAAGCATTAGTGTTACCTTGTGGCCTGGAGGAAAACTTTTAAGACTTGCACTAATGGTAAAGTAAATTCCTGTGCTTTGCTTTTATTTTAGGGACTAAGTGGTGATTATGTAATAATTAAAGTGAAAACTCAAGGGGGGCTCTGTGAAATGTAGTCTATTCTTTTTAGATTAGATTATCTCCTGTGGCCCAGGAGTTACGTAAGCGGGAGGAATAAAATCCTATTTAAATAAATTTAAATAAACCCAGATATCTTTCTTTTCCCCAAAACATAGCTCTGAGTAGCACTTGTAAACCAATCAGCCAGACAGACTAAGTAAAGTTTGTCATTACATAAGTTATTCCCTTGTCTTTGAGATGATCTTTATTAATAACAGTCCTCTGGATGTTTTGAGGTGTGTTTTTTGTCTTGTTTAGAGGACTTTCCTCCACGTTCGACTATTGACTGCTTTGGGACGTGTCTTGAGGGATCTTTTCCGTAGCCTGTGGTTTGTTTTGCCTGTTGAGGGAGGTAATAACATTGACACAAATACTGTTGTTGTTGGAACTTTACACTACAGAGCATAACATAGTAACTGTGCCATCTAGTGTCTGTGGTGTATACTTACCTCCTATGCATTCCACTTTAGGCTCCTCCCACTGACCGTCAGGTAAGCAACGTACCACTGAAAGGTGGCGCTGTGTGAATCCACTGTCACACTGGTATCGAATGATGGAATTAACAGGGTAGCGATCTTTGCTGTTGCCTAACATCCTGGCACTCTTCACTTCAGGAGGCGATGGACATGTGACTACAGTAAAAAGAGTAAAACAGCAAAAACATTTCTCTTCCTATTAAAACAAGAAAATAGAAGTTCCTTTAAGTTTATAGTATTCATGGTCTATTGATAATTACACAAAAGTATCTTGATGTAGCTGCACTATACTTTCCGTAAATTAACACAATAAATTAAATAGCTATTGTGATAGGCTAATAGATCACTTAGCTAATTGGGTAGGGCTGACTTGGTGCTGAAGTTAATGTCTGTCACCTCTTCTTACCAGGTCCACTCTTGCAAGTAAAAGGAAGATGATAGTTGCAGGGTACATCATTCCACTGGCCATCCTCATGCCATATCATTACAACACAGTCTTCTCCAGTGCTGAAGTAATTATCTGGCTGATTGGGTCTCCAGTTTTCATATTCCTGCAGAGAAATTAGCACTGGTTGAAACAGTGACTTACTGCAAATGCCTCAGAACACAGTCGGCGCTCAATTTGAAAAGAATCTCAGAGGAAGGTGTTCTTACCAAAGGGCTTCCGTCTGTCCAGCGAAACTGATTTTGCACATCCTTGTCATTTAGTCCAATCCATTGATAGTCATGAGCTTGATCTAGGTCATTTAGAAATGTATAAGCACTTTCATTTAGATCAACAAGCAGGTACATGTCTTTTATTCAGATTATCAGATCAAACTCACTTTTTACAAACTCTTGTTCTTGTTGGGAGGAAATGCTAACCAGGTGAGAGTTTAGCTCTTGACAGTGCTTCTCCGCACTGGTCCAGGTCTCACGCTCATCAAAATGGATATAACAGCTGCCCATGAACTCCATCCACCCTTCAGTACATCCCTGTACCGCTGACAACACAGAAGATACAATTAATTTTACTAGTTTTTATTATGTGTTCTTTAAGGGTGGCTAGTTATAGAAGACTAGCAAGACTGACAGGCTCCCTACCTACTGAACAGGGTATGTCTGTATACTTCATTTGGCAAAAAATATTCCTTTCAAATGGCCTAGAAAATCCTCATTCATAAACGTACCCTACGATTTATAATTTCATGCAAGATAATCAAAAACCCTGTGATGTCCAGTTTGATTATTCCATTACTTGCCAGTAGGAAGTAACAAGGCATTCAAGACAAAGGTGGTTAAAACTGTCCTTAAGTCACAATAAATGCATAGCATGATATCTTTGTTAAAATGCTCCATGACTTTTCACTTACGTGTTAAGCAGTTTTCCCCGCTGAATCCTAAATGACACTGACATACTGCAATGCCACCTTGTAGAGAGCATAAACCTTGACCACAGGGGTTTGGATTGCAGGAATTGGCAGAAGCTGTTAAAGACATATTCAACTTAATTAAAAATGTTAAAAAGTATGTTGTTGTACACCAGTTAAATAACATCAAAATTATAGTTTTGTTCAGCTATTACCATCAGTTAAAGATAGCTCCATAGCTTTTGGTGTTTGTAGTAAAGCTGAAGGTGAAGTAATGATTATAGAAGTGGTTGGCGGTGTTGTGTTCAGTGGTGACTGATCAGTCACATCAAATGCTTCAGTGATGACATTAAGTTGCATATGTCTTTCTGGTAGGAGATCAACAGTTTCATTGACACTCCAATAATCTTCATATGAAGTACTATTAGAAAGAGATATGGAGAGGTCCTCAGCATAATGTTCTTGACTACTGCCCTCTCCACTGATCTCCACTGATCCACGACCCTGTTCTGTTCCGATTGTAGGCCTAAACGTCAACTCGACCTCATCGTCCGTTAGAATGACAATCTTTCCATCCTGACTCTGAATGTGGCCAGATACCTCACCTGAGGGATGACTGGGATAACCTGAAGCTCCGGAAGCAGAGCCAAATCCAAAGCTAATGGCAGAGCCAAATGCAAAGTCAATGATGGTGCCAGATCCAAATCCAGAGGCAGAGCCAGATCCAATAGCAGGGCCGGAAGCAGAGCCGAAACCACTAACATCAGTCAAGTCAAACGGAGAAACCCCAGACAATTCCTGTTCTCCAGAAGGACTTGCAGTCAGATCTATAATTTCTGTGTTTATAAATGATACACCAGAGAAGCCTGACCCACTCGATTCCTCACCACTGAAGAATCCACTTGTTCCTAAACCACTGGATCCACTGCCAAGTCCTGATGGACGGCTTGATTCCTCACCACTGAAGAATCCACTTGTTCCTGAACCACTAGATCCACTGTCAAGTCCCGATGGAAGGCCTCTAGCTCCACTTTGTTCATAAAAGAGTCCAGATTTCTCTCCAGATTCTTGATCCCCTGATGATACTGAAGTAATGATAACACCACTGCCACTGCCACTACCTTCTCTTGCCTCCATAGAGCTGCCCGAGGCAGAAGTCTGCCACATGAGTGTATCTGCACCTTCTTGGTACCTCAGAAGGTGACCTGATCCATCACCACTTTGGCCAGAACCGGATATGCTCCCACTGGGTATGCCACTCCCTGACATGTACCCAGAACTGGAATTAGGATCACCTGATGCTGATGCTGAGCCTGAGCCCGATCCAGATTCAGACAGGTCCACAAGCAAGGGAGGTACAATTGGACGAACTGTAACACACATCACAGAAAGTTATCATACTTAAATAAGACAATAATGCAGTAAAGATTAGCAGTAGCAAGTGGTGATATCCAACATATCTCATACCAGGTCTCAGCAGCTCTGTTATGTCCGTCATGTTAAGATCCTTCCCCATCTTTGTAGTGTTCAACATATCTTCATCAAGCAGCATAGACAGATTTGCTGAAAAATAATCAAGAATCTCCCAGATCAAAACCCAGTCTTGCCTTTCATTGCAAACTCATACATACAGGCTTAAAAGCTGCTATACCTTTGATGCAATATGCATCATATCTGGAGTATGGGTTTGGGAAGCCTGTTTGGTTTGGTTGAGCATAAATAGTATGCACTCCTGTCTTGTTTTCACCACAACCAAAGCCTGGGTTGCGGACAGGATAGCGGACACTGCGATCAGACAGCCAGCCTGGACTGCACTTGTGGAAACCCTGATTCCATGAGGCGTACAGTTCTCCAGTTGAAGCAAGAGTAGAACCCAGTTTTCTGCAATAGGCAACAGCTTCATAGTAGGTGAAGCCTGCTAATGAGCTCACATGGAAGATCTCCCCTAAGGGATAGAGACTGAACAGTGAGATCATAGAGGATTAAATAAGCGTTAATTTTTATGTCATGAATTAATCTTTACTCACCCTTTATCTGGTCCATATAACAGTACACATCGTACCGCTCATGTGCAGGCCTAACATTGTAAGAGCGTATACCAGGGAGGTCCTTCTGATCTCCAGAGCACTTCTTTTGAGGATGCACAATTGGATATCTGAAAACAGTGTTGAATGCTAAATAAGGTGTCAACAATATTTGATCCAGGATTCCAGTTAATTCAACAGAAACAAATGCAGTTAGGAACATATAGGGCAGCACTTTGTAAAAAATAAGCTTACCTGACAGTCTGGTCCTGTATCCAACCTGCACTGCATTGATGAAGGCCAGCTTCATAAGCCACCTGAAGAAGCTCAGGGGTGGCTATGACTGCTCCCAGCTTCTGACATGCCACTTGTGCTTCCTCAAAGGTGTAAGCATAGTGTCTGGAGTCAGCGCGATAGTGGAATACCACTCCCTTAGTTTCTAGGGCAAAGAAAGGTTTGGCCATATTTAAACTCTACTGTTTGCACATGGTATTAACATCTGCTTTGAAAATCAGTTGATACACCATTGATTTTGTCCCTGTAACTCTTGCAAATCCTTGTTTTTGCTCAATTACTTTGGCTCAGTTACCTTCAGTGGTGTTTGGGTGTTTACACTGCTAATTTGATGTGGTTTGATGTCATACACTGGATCCAGTTTAGTTTACTTACCAGCAGTGACATTGTCCATGGGAATCTCATATCCCAAGTAAGGCATAGCCGTGGCCACATTAATAATGTCCTCCTCAACCTCAGTTATGTTGGGAGGTAAAGGTAGAGGACTCTCTATGCTTGTGGTGTTAAGAGGCTCTTCTGTCACTAGCTGGCCACGGACCTCCCCTTCTGTGGTCACCTCTTCAGTATAGTCTGAAGGGCTTGAGGTGACTGTAGCCACACTGAACATGGAATCCGTGGTAGTGTATATTTTAGGAAATGGTGAGGTCTTTGTTGAAACCTTATCGTCTTTTTCTGAAAAATAATTAACAAAGTTTGTGAGAATTGACAGTCTTTTGAATCATAAGAGGACACAGACCTCCTTGAATGCTGAAGTTTGGAACAATAAAATGGTGAGTAAATAAGTTTTTATTTTTTGAGTTTCTGTTCCTTTAGTGACATTATGATATGATTGTTCTGAGGTGTGTAAATGTGAAGTGATTTAGCAAACAAAGTCCAAAAAGCTAAAATATGAATTACATTCTCTGTGCTTACCTGCATAACAGATTGCATCATAGCGGGAGTCTGGGTATGGATAACCAGTCTGATTTGGAAACAGGTAAACCGTTCGCACTCCCAAAAGCCCCCCACCACACTGGGGTCGAGCTATGTTAATGGGGTACCTCACACTCCTGTCTGCTAGCCAGCCAGCATTGCACACATCCATACCAGCCATCCATGCTAGGTAGAGTTGCCCTGTGGTGGCCAGTTGGGCTCCCAACTTTGCACACTGGTCTTCAGCCTCTGCAAAGGTGAACTTCTCCACAGACATAGAGTAGAACACACCGCCTGGGTGATGATTAGAATCCATAAAGTAAAAACACAGCAAAAATGCACCAACTAGTTACATTTCAGTTTGTAAACACTGCCTGAGGTACCTGACATTTTCTCTGCAAAACAGTACACGTCATAGGTCTCATTGATGTCTCTGACTCCATATGTTCGTAGCCCTGGGAAATTTTCTTTGTCTCCATAGCAAGGCTCCCTTGGCTCATGAATGGGATACCTATGGAGAATTGCATAGAATCTTATTATAGTTATAACTTAACTAAATGGTTAATAAATATATTAGTATTGTTTACATTGTATTCACTGCGTCTTATACACCTGCTCATGACCACCCATGTTTGTAAGTGGTTTTTATTTATGTTGTTATTAGATATTGACCTTTTCACATTACCTCACAGTTTGGTCTGAAAGCCAGCCAGCATCACATTGATGGTATCCATCATCATAGGCAGCTTGCAACTGTGCGGGAGTTGCAATAACAGCACTGTTCCGGATGCAGGCTGCCTTTGCCATCTCAAATGTCAAGGTATATCGGGTAGATATTGCTCGGTAGTGAAACACAATGCCTGTAAAGATTTGACCCACTTATTTAATTCTCACTTTCAGTTATTTATATGTTTAATAAATGTACTTTTTGTGTGTCTGAACAGTTTGAAAGTCTTCAAACTGAAATCTTACCTTGGACTTGCATTTCTACAGAATCATAGTTATCTTCAATCCCCTGCATGACCTCACAGCGGTAGGTGCCGGAGTCACTGGAGTGGAGTTCTGAGATCTCAATGGTGGCGTCAGTTGGCACCATGGGGTAGTTTACCATATGAACCCGGTCCACGTAGTCTGTCTCAACCTGCACCATGCCCCCACTGGCAACAAGAATAAGAGATATTCTGCCCTTGTAGATGTAGCTCCACTTAATACGGTGGGGCAGTGGGGCAGTGGTTGGGGCGCCAGGGTCCTGGACAGTGTTTTCCTGGAAGTAGCAAGGTATAATCATGCTTCCCCCCAATAGGGGACGCAGTGGTGGTTCCACAGGGATACTCACACTAATGGGGCTGTCCTGATCTGTAAAACATAATTTCATTTTGAAATTCTCTTTCACTTAAAAGCAGTAAATCTTAGCAATCTAAAAAGTTCACCTACCAGCCATGTCCCCAAATAAGATCATGCCAGAAATGGCATGGATGTATGCATATAACAGGAGCCAAATCAAAGACATGTTTCACCTTAGGAAATATAGAAAAAGAGTGGGTGCTTTATATTATTATATATATAGTACCACACACATTTGACTAATATTCAACAGTGATGCATTGAACTAAATCCTAAGCAACTAAAACTGTCAGAAAGGCTGTCAGAAAAAATCTGCAAAAGTTATACTTTTAAGAATCGTCACGGGGCTGGTACCCTTAAAGGCACGACTTTGTTTCTAATACCCCTGTTAGAAACTTAGAGTAGGGGGTAAATAGGGGTAAATAAGGTACATAGATGTCACTTTAAGACTACTGGCCCAGTAACAAGCTGATGTACCCCTAAAGGTGTGGCATGTAGGGCACACTGAACTGAGCAAATCACTCAAGCCATTCCAAAAGCAGTTTCTCCGTTTCCGAGGCTTTACACGGCCTTACTGAGCTACTGTACTCCTGGTGGAAATTTGGAATAGATTGGAAACATGACGTCATTAATTCACTCTCCCATTTAAGCGTTCACACATACACTCTCTTTCTCCCTGTCTCTCTCTAAAGAAGAATAGTTCACTGTTTGAGCCACAGGAAATGTTCTGGGCTTGGTAAGTTGAATTTTAATCAATGGTTACTGTGAAATCTGCTTGGGAATTTTTTTTTATATTTCCCTGTATGATTTATAAATTCTAAAGTTCAGTTTGATAATGAACACAGTGCATCATTCACTACTTTGCTTAATTTTTTCCCTCTTGGCTATTGCTCAGGTTTTCTGAATCAAGCTGCTTTAAATGCACTGAGTGACTGTAGGAGACCTCCATCCTGGCACGGCCCTGAAGTAGCTTTTTATCTCCCACCTCTAATGCCTTACTTACTTCTGTTTTACTGGTTTATATGCCAGTAGGATCAGTAGTAAGAACAAAAGACCACTTCCTATACAAGTAAATGAGAGCTTAAACATGCTTTCACTGTGCTCAGACAAAAACAGTACAAATATTTTAATATGTAATACTGTTTATTCTATCTTTAATAGATTCTGTACAGAAAATGTTTTTACATCACACACACACCAACACACGCAAATAGGTTGTGTGTGGTGAGAAGTGCCACATTCAACATATGCTTGACAGACGGAAATATGTTAACTCAGCTGTCTGAGGTGAGTCAAGGAGGATCTCCTCTGTCATGAAGACAAGATTACATTCTAGTCCAGAAAAAAAAAATGATTCCAATTTTTTCACAACCAAAATGAACAACTGCATTTTATGAATATGAATACAAATTCTTTCTTTATAAAGTATATCTGCCTACTGGCTAGCTTCAGTTCTAGTCTTGTGAACTGTGAAAGCGAACCACCTTCTTTAAAATGACCAGTCACATGGGCCTTTCAGATGCTGTTATATACAGCTATATTCTGGTCTTGTCAAGCAGGGGTGGAGAGAGGACTTCCACAGTATCTCCATTCAGCCAGTGTGGTATGTTCTCTTCCCATCAGGCACAGGCCAATAAGCAGAGTTCTGTTTCTGCTCTGGTCTGTGCTCATGGACGCAGAACTGCATTAAAGCCAATGTAAACACTCTGCTGTATTCCACAGGAGGCCCTAAATCACCAAAACCCCAAGAGAGCCACAGGACCAGAACACTGTCCACATTCAACACACAGAGTCGCAGGTAACTCTAGTACTGTAATATGGTACGGTGAAAGTATGTCATGTTAATCATGGACATACTATATGCAATCTGTAGGCATGCATTTGGTCATAGATCACGACTCGTATGCACACTTGCAAGCATTTTGGAAAGGTATCTTTACCTATGACACACCTTGCCCAGCCTTATCAGGAGATGAAAAGATAGAAAATAACTAATATTTTATATGCAAATTAATAAACCGCAACATTCATCTTGCATTGAAATTGTATACAGAAAGAAACAATTTACTTACTCAAACACCCATGTTACTCAAACTTCAATGTAATTACTTTCCTCAAAAATGAGAAAACAGTAGATGCTAACTAAAATTAAAAGGCAAGCATGCCAATATAATATTGGTTATATATTAATAAAATATATCCATTCTATCCATTCATCCAGTTTAATTTGAATGTTGAATTATTTCATGATACTAATTAACATGCTTTATAAATACTGAATATTAATATTAATAAAATAATATAATTTATAGAAAATAATAATATTAATATAACAAAATATTAGAGTTGCTAGACATGTAACCAATAAAATTGTATAACAAAATTCTAAACTTTAATAGACAAATTAATAAATTAAACATATGATGCATATATATATATATATATATATATGTATGTATGTATTTATGCATTTAATAGCTTTCAAGCAATATTATAATTAACTACAATAAATAAAAATAAAAAAACGTACCAAACTAGTAGTGTCCCTTCTTGTTTGCTTTTTGTAATGTCCTTGTGCCTTGCATTAATCTGTCGGCTGGGAAATTTCTAAAATCCTGTGTTTTTAGACTGCTTGCCTTCCCTGTGTGAGTCAGGAGCAGAAAGGGATCTAATTGAAATTGGGCACAAGTTTAGCAAAGTGAGTGGGAGAGAGAGACAGAAAAGGGCAGAGGGAGGCAGAGAGGTAGGAGTGGGGACTATTGAGTGCCACTGAGTGGCATTTTGAATGCTCAAATCATAACTTTAGGGTAGACTGGGGTTGATAGGTTGCAGGGGTTGACTGACACATGAGTTGTAATAAGATGCTGTCACAAAAATGTAATGTTACCCACAATCATTGATTCTATAAATACATTAAAAGCTCAAAATGTGTCAAAGTGAGGATAACTTTTTGATTTTTATGGGCATTTTTGCTTTGATAAAAATGAATACCTTCCCCTCAGCTAAACATGTTTTTAAAAAGAATTTACAGAGATATATTTTGATCAATGTTAATTAATAGATACAGGAATCTGTTATATTTTGATATATTTCTATAAAATAAAAAAACTAGGAAAACTTATTGTCATTGAATCTGTCTTGGTTATTCATTTTCATTTCATTTTCTTTTGCAGTTAGTTGGTTTGCCTTTATGTTTGTTTCATCAGAGATAATCAACAAAAATTAAAATGGTACCAAGCAACCCCACCCCAGTTTCCCCTTACCCATAATATCAGTATTTTAGATCACTAATATTTTCTAGCTAGGTATTTTTAATTATTAATTAGGTAATTAATAATTTAATTAATTTTAATTAAACTCTATACAAGAAACCAGAAAAGGTCATAGGGGTCATTGCTTTATTACTTTGTGTTTGTTTACAATTAGAGTAGTGAATATCATGAAATGTGCATAGTTTATCAGTCTTCATCATCTGTTGTGCATCAGTTGTCAGTTATGTGGAAATATCGGTCTGGGCTTCAGTTTCCTGTTTAGTACAGGTTTTATAGCTCTATTGTGGGCCTTTGGTGTGTGGTATATTTAGAGACACTGGTGAATCTTGCAAGAATCTCTCAACCAAATATCAGTCTACGTCTGATGGTGCTGGAATTTCACAGTTCAAACTTTAAAGTGATGACTCGCCAACAGAAGCTGCTTTTCTGCACTTTCTTGAAGTGTGAGATACACCTTTAAGACTCTCCTGTCCTTATACAGTAAGAAACTTGCTTTGCCCAATAGGCAGTTAATATCCTTTACCCAAACAAGTTGATTATCTTGGCTACGCAACTCAACTTGCCTGCTATCGAGTGTAAATTCAGTAAAACAATGGGATGGAATCCATCACCCATACTTAGGTTATATATGGTCAGGAAATGTGAAATTATATTGTTTTAAACCCATGAGCCCAGTCACTTCTGTGCAAGGAATGTGTCACAGGAAGTGTGATAAGACTGGCTAATTATGTAAGAGAAAACTCTGCAACGGCCAACATTTCAGACATTTAAAAGAGCAGAGATTCAGTACAAGTTACATAAAAATGGTCTGGTTACACATTGAACGTTTTTTGCCCGTCCTTTTCTGCAGACGTAACCATTTCGATTGTTCTAGTAAACGTTACTTTCTACAGATATATCTACAATGTCTTGAGTAGGGACCTCCAATGAGCCGGTACACCTCGTTACACGTGCAACATGAACAAAACCTGCAATATATTCACATGTGTGAGCTATAAACCATGTGTGTAAAACAGAAATTTAATTTCCAGGAAAACCATGGACGGCTCAAACGAAAACATTGTGTCTGGTCACACAAGCTGTGCTTGTTAATTCTCATACTAGCACATTGTTGCTCTAGTGCGTACATTATGAATCAAACTAACAACCTTCGAAGTCTTGCGAGTGACCATTGAGGTATATTTCAAAATATAGTAAGAAGTCAGAGAATTGCAAGTATTGTCTGCTCTTAACGGTGGAAAGCTGACCCTTATAACATACTTAGTCTATAACAGTTGTAGTTCAGTGAGGAGTTTGAATGAGGTGGAGGATGGAGTGAGTTCATTAGGGCCAGGATTTTACTCGTCCCTGGATACTAGTTAACAGTCATGAACCGGTAAAGCGATGACATCATCTAAATAGCAATATCAATAGTATATGTGTTGTACTGCATGTTTAAATGCTCTTAAATGTAATTATTGTTTAATAATTAAAATTACTTGAGTAGACTACAGGTCAAATGTTTGTAGTAGTTAAGGTTTTTAATGTTGTTAAAATAAATAATTATATTCAATCTTTTATACTCCACACTGAGGCTTGTTTGATCAAAAAAGAGTAAAAACTGTAATATTGTAAAAATCAGTATGTTTTTGTTGAAACTGTGATACACTACCATTCAAACATTTGGAAAATGAATAATTGTATTCGGAAAGGACACATTAAATTGATCAAAAGTGACAGTAAAGACATTAATAATCATTATCTAATAATAATAATAATGATAATAATAATAATTTAATAATTAATTAAATATTTTCTATTCATCAAAAAATCTTGAAAAAATATATCCTTATTTCCACAAAAATATTGAGAAGCAAAGTCTGTTTTCAACATTGATATTTATTAAGATATGTACAAGATGTAATAATGTAAAATAAATAAAAATTGTAATATACAATTATACATTATATAATGTAAATGTATGTAGAGATCCAAGAATTCTTCATGATTCTGATTCAGTGGGTCTCAGAACATAACTTGAAGATAAACTACCTTTAATACTAAAAGAGATGTCATTCAGACTGTCGTGGCACAGTACACTCTTAAAAATAAAGGTGCTTCACGATGCCATAGAAGAACCTTTTTGTCTAAATGGTTCCATAAAGAACCTTTAACATCTGAAGAACCTTTCTGTTTCACAAAAGGTTCTTTGTGGCGAAAGAAGGGTCTTCAGATTATAAAAAGGTAAGAAAGAGATGGTTCTTTAAAGAACCTTTGACTGAATGGTTCTTTGTGGAACCAAAAATGGTTCTTCTATGGCATCGCTTGAAGAACCGTTTGAAGCACCTTTATTTTTAAGAGTGTATTTGATTGTTCACAGCAGGAATCCTGCAAATCGCAATGTTTGCTCAAGTTCCTCTCTAAAATGAAAACGAGAAACATGTATTCATCAGAGTGAACATGCTTCATTGCTTATTTTTCAGACCAGCATGTGGATGGAATGGAAAACAGTAGTGTTTTCTTTGAGGTGACAAATTTCAAGCCAGTCAAGGACTGCCAACGCTTCATTTTTCATTTTTCGGCATGGGATAGAAACATTTTTAGTGGCTAATGTTCACAAATTACTGAAATATGGCTCAGAACCTCTGTCACATAAGTATGTCACAAAAGAGAGAGAAATTGCCTCAGAATTAATGACATGACTAAGGATTCGAGTCAATTTGTGAATCATACTTGATTGCCCTTGACATTAATGATCGTATTTTGATGATGAAGATGTTCCTTGATGATCGCTTGACATATGATGAAGGTCCAGCACTAAAAAAAAAAAGAGAAACACTGACATAAAGGACACAGTGTAAGAGATGAAGTGCACTAATAGCCCCCGAATTGGTCATATTTGAATCATGTCACAAATGGTAATATTAGACCTCGACCAACCGCCAAACCTAAAAATTTGTCAGATTTCTTTATGATTAATTCTTCCTCTTTGGTCAATCCTAGTGCCAGTGTTTTGAGCCGGCCTATCTTCACATTAAGCTTCTGGCAAACGACAAATGGAAACATGATTCATAGTGCACAAAAAATACTTGATGTCTGCTTCATGTCTTAATTTGGCCTTTCTACCTATGAAATGTTTAGAGACCATGTAATTGTTGATTCATAGTCATCAGTGTTCTGACATCTCTTGACATCTCAAGTTAAAAAAAAAAAAGAGATCATATTTAAAATGATTAATTATTGTGTGTGTGTGTTGATTGGAAACATACATACATGTTCCAACACAGTTTTGTTTCTCTGTATTTTGTGGTGAACCGAATGACGTGATCAATTTTGTATACGTGCTGTAGAGAGTCACACATAACTGATTGTCCTCTTTGACCCCAGCACAGGTCTCGAACCCAAACTCTCATCACTCGCCTCAATATGACGCAGGGCCTGGATTTGAACAAGCTTGCTTTGACTCACTTCCCATTTGGCCTGCTCAACAGGGCATTGACAGCTTTTCGGCGTCCGTTGAAGGGGGAAAGCAGTCTTTTTTACTGGGCTTCATTTGAATGAATGGAGGCATTATGGAGATGTCACAGCTACGGACCCCTTCTGCTGTATATAAGCACTCAGTGAGCAACTGGCGGGTTACGGAGAGGTTATTTTTTAAACTTATGTATTGATTTAAATGTATGCAGTGACATTTATGCAGCAAAAGTTCCATGAAGACTAGAAATTTTTCTTTCATTTTCTTATTTATTTTTTTTAATCAAATGATTTATTAAGCTAATTGCTTAAGATTTACACAGTTATTTAATTAATTGATTACTATTTTACTGTTGTTGATGTTTTATTTATTTTGTATTTATTGAATTGTTTATTTAAATTCATTATTAAAAATAATCTGTAGATGATAATTGGTTTATGGACATTTATGCTTACGGTAGCACACCAAAGTAATTTGCATACTGTACTTGCATATTACAGCTATTAAAATAATCATTATTGAAGTACTATAGAGTCATATAGTTCTACATTATGTATCTACAATACAGTAGTTTAAATATTGTTCTTTTTTAAAATAAAATTATTTCCTAAAGTAGTTTCTGTAGGAATTACACAGTTAAGCAGTTTGCTTGTTTATAATAATAATTTTATTGTAGTGTCATTTTTAAGAATTTTATATTAATTTAATTATACATTAATTTAATTTTGTCATTATAAATAATATGTAGGTATAGTTCATATTTGGCCTATGAACATTTGTATTTATTTTTATAGTAGCGTACTATTGTATTTGCATACTTTTTTTTTATCTCATTGTAAAGCTAAATATCCCACATTGCATTTAAATTGTACACAATACAATTAGTTGACAGATTTAAATATTGCATTATTTGTTTGGTGCATGTCTTTTTAAATTACTTTAAGATCAAACAATAATTAGTCACTTTCTATTTTCTCTATTTTTAGCCTTTATTATAAAAATGGAACAAAATCTATTTTGAAAAGCATTTTATAGACTTGTGTTTCTATCACATTTCAATGGCCATTTCATTTCATATTTTTCCATCAGGGACCCTTTTACAATCTCTTCAGGCACCTCAGTGGAGCCAGAGCTGCTCTCTCAGTCTGGGCGCCATTACATAATCACAAGCTGGATGACTGAGTGTGTGAGGTTGTAGAGGTTTTCCCTATTAATCTGTAATATTACACTGTAATATTATATTACAATAACACTGTAATATTATATTCTAGTACAGAACCATCTCCCATGTATATTGTGTATATTTATAACAGATACATATCAGATAAACATTGGTTTACAAAATACAAACTGGGCATAGAATGAAACCTAATACTTTTTGTATAAAGCCAATTCACCATGCACCGGTGTAACTATAATTTTTCATGAGAAAATACAATTTTAATAAACATTTTATGAGAATGGTGCCTAATAGTAGCTCAGTTTTATTGTAAAATGCATAATTGGAGTACACCATGATAATTTGAAGGGTGGGACAGACCTGTCAACATAATATTTTACTCTTCTGACCACTTGACAGTTCACACGTCAGATTAACTACAATATTAATCTACTGTATAAAGCCTACTGTATCAAATGTGATACATTCATTTCTAAGGCCTCTAAATTGTCAACATTATCAAAACTGAATGAAAAACCTGTTGTACACAATCTGCTTACATGCCTTCTGTTGTCTGATTGATAGTTTACAGGTGCATCTCAATAAATTAGAATGTCGTGGAAAAGTTCATTTATGTCAGTTCAACTCAAATTGTGAAACTCGTGTATTAAATAAATTCAATGCACACAGACTGAAGTACATTCTAATTTATTGAGATGCACCTGTATACTTGATAATATGTATCAAGTAATCCTTTATAATTTATTAGCAAGGAAAAATAAAAATCCTGTCATCATTTTCTCACCCTCAGGTTGTTTCAACCCTATATAAGTTTATTTCTTCTGTTGAACACAAAAGAAGATATTAAAAAAAAAAAATGTTGATGGTCACCTTTGACTTCCATAGCATTTTTTCCCCATTCTATGGAAGTCAATGGGGACCATCAAATGTTTGGTTACCCATATTTTTCAAAATATCTTCTTTTGAGTTTAACAGAAAACAGAAACTCTTACAGGTTTGGAATAACTTGAGGGTGAGTAAATAATGGCAGAATTTTCATTTTTGGCTGAACGGTCCCTTTAAGTTGATTATATTTGATTATCCATTCATTTTTTAATGTAAGTATCAATATGATATGAAGATTGTTTATTTGTACATCATTTAATAACCATTGAATTGCATTGCATTATAGTAAGCATTTAATTATGATATCATGAGGTATAGAGTGACAAGTGATATTTATATGCATTTATATTCATTTTAATGCATTTTTTTCATTAAGTAGTCTGCTAATAGTGTTATAAAAATCTCTTAAATTTGCATTACAAGCTCAGAATTTCGTCTTTCTATTTGGCCATATAATACAGCAAATTACATATTCTTGGATGTGTTTTTACTCCTTGTTGTGTGTGACTATGAGCTCCATGTTCTCACTATATAGACCTTAAAATTGTGATGTATAAAATATAATGCAAAACATAAAAACTTTTGATTTAGATTTTTAATAAACAATAAACTGTTCATCAAAAAAATGCCAGGCGTTAATACTAAAGGGTCGTGTTGTTTCGCCCGTTCTGTAGGTGGCAGTCCTCTGTGTGTAGTTTCCGCATCATGGATCACGAAAGACAGCGCTGGTCAAGTGTTTTGTTCACGCGGAGCTCCAGTTTCATTCTGACAGCAGATGAGGAAATCAAACTCTGTCCGAGACCGAGCTCCTCTTTCAACGAGTGAGTATCCTGCAGTATGGACCGTGACATTTCGCAGTCATTTCTGTGTATCATTTATTGCTTTATAAAGTTTGTGTTTGTAGAGTTAGTTCGCTGCGTGAGTTTAAATGAAGTCGGTTGAGTGATGGTTTGTTTGATTTGAGTCAACTGAATCGCCTGATGATGCGATGCGATGAGAGGAGGATGTTGTATTCATAATGTTTTGCGCAATATAATATACCACTTTCTGTCTGTAGCTCAAATTTGTCTTCCCTGTTCAGTCGTCATTGTGTTTTATTGAAGAGAAAAAGATGCATAAGAGCTGTTAGTTATGAGGTGCAGTGCACTGCATTCCTGCTCGACTTCTGTTCCATCGTCCAGCAGCCTGGCATTTGGGCTCTGTGTGTCCTGGCCTCTGGTGACTACTTTTAAGGCAGTGTTAAAATGCAGGCATCAGTCTGACAGCTGCAGATGTGACTCTCCACAGTCTGACACGCTTTCTGTAGATCATGCTCTACTTGCATGACATGTTTGCTCATTGTGGTTAATTTGTGAGGTAGGTTGGTATGTGCCAGTTGCATGCTTGTGAAACTGAAAAGTGGCCTAAAATGTTTACAACTCTCAAAGTTGAGGTCCAAAGAAGCACTTAAAGGGATAGTTTAAACAACACACACGCACACACACACACACACACAAAGAGAGAAAGAGAATTGCTTCCTGTATGACTTACTTTTTTTTTGTGGGATATTGAACATCATTCTATTCACTTCTCCACAGAAGAAAGTAAGTCTTAGGCTGATGATACACTGGGCAACTTTTTGAGCAATGTTGCCAGGCAATTTTGGAAAATGTTGTGGTCAACAGGCAACCAGGTGAGACATGGAGCCCACGACCAATCTAAAATATCCAAATCTAAATTTGTTACCCATTCTCAATGGGAAAGTGCCCAAGCAACATTGCTCAAAAAAAGATGCCCAGCAGAATTGGTCAAAAAGTTGCCCCGTGTATCATCAGCCTTACTGAGTTTGACTCGAGGGTGAGTAAATGATGGAAAAACTTTATTTTTTTTCAGTGGACAGGGTTTTTACCATATGTTCCTAGTTTGATTCTACCTTCAACAGTTTGTTTTTATTTAGCAGTATAATGCTATAGTAATGATTTTTACTATAGACTGGTAATGATTAACTTTCTAGTTAATTATTTACCATTTTGGGATCAGTTAGGCAGTTTAGCATGCTTTATATTCTGCAAATGCAAGCTCTTTTGATTGTCTCAATTGTATTGCTGTGCACATTATTAATTATTATGTAATTATTAATAATTACTGTAAATTATTCACTTTAATACTTGCTCTTGCTTGCAATTAACTTTAAATAAATACATAAATTACAATTTTCAAAATGTTGAAATTTTTTTTTGGTTTGCTAAGGTCTTTGACAAAAAATAAAAAACAAGAATGCACACCAAAAGAATTATATCTTTAAATAAATCGTTTTATTTTTCACAATGTTTTAAAATTTGGTTTGGTTTGCTAAAGTCTTTGGCATTTATCATATTGTTTAAAAAAAAAAGGAAGAAAAAAGAAAACTGAAACATTTTTCAATAAATAAATAACTTTTTCAAAATGTTGCGAAATGTAATTATATATTCTAAAACCTTTGACATTTGGCATATTTTTGTCAGCAAAAACAAAAATGAGTAAATCAATAAAATAAATTAATAATTAAATGAATGAATAAATAAAATATTTTTTTCCTCTAAAAATAACTTTGTCATATTAGCTCAATAAATCATATAGTCACGTTCTGTCATTGATATTCAATTGCAAGGTTGTTGCAGTGCTGCTCTTATCCTCTTTATCTTAATGATAATCATTTATGACAGAAATAACCTGTTAAATAGTGGCAGTCCTCCCGATCATAATAAAAGCACTTCACAGGATATGATCTCAAAGGTCGTTTGCTCTCTCCGTTGGTAGCTGCTGGACTGCTAGATTCATCATCACAGGATCATGTTGCTGATATGTACTGGACTCTGATTTGTTTCCTATGATGTCAGATGGAAATTGGCTCTCCATTGCTCTGATTTGGAAACAGAAACAAGTTCATCCAAAAATGTTGTCACCATTCAGTCATCATGGTCAATTTGGTCTCGTTGACTTACTTCTGTGGAAAAGCTGTTTTTGCACATACGGTGAAAGTCAATGGGGTCACACAACTTTGGACCCCATTGACTTTCATTGTATGGACAAAAACAGCTTTTCCACAGGAAAAAAATCTCTTACTTTTATATCACACAGAATAAAGAAATGTTTTCAGGTTTGAAATTGAGAGTCAGTAAATGCCACTAAAATTCCAGCCCAGCAATGTCGGCTCAACCAATGGCATGAGTTTAGGGAGGAGCTATCTTTTTTTTTCCGACCAATAGCAGATAAGGCCATGTTTAAAAGTATTTTTTTGCAGTTCCAGAAATGATTTCACCTTTTACAAGGCTGTATAGACATAAACATAATGAAATCTGTCCACTTAAGGCTGAAAAATGAATAAACACATATAGACATTTACATAGTTCATGTTGAATGTTACATACTTGGACATACTTACTTTGACATGTTTGCTTAACACAAAATCAAGATTGCACAACACAGGAGAGGCCTTGCAGAAGAAGGCAATGAGTTTCTGATCAGTGTGAGTTAGGATGTTCAAAAATCCCTCGAAAGACTTAATATCTTATTATCTTGCAAGGATATTGGACTCTGGTTGCTTTGTGGCTTTTTGTAAGTGATAGTAGCATTTATTTATGAGTTTGTTTATCCATGTGTGTGTGTTTTTCCTGATCCTGGGTCGCTGTAGACGGCTTCCTCTCAACTTAATGTTCCCTGTCAACACATCCACAGCGTGATGAGTTATCGTTGGAAGCCGTAGACCTCAGCATTTGATCCAAGTCTCACCCCTCCCCCATATTCACCTCTGTCAGGGGCCCGTGGCTATTATTATGCCCTTGATTACATGCAAACAGTTTGTAGTTTGTAGTATTCTTACAGACCGTGAAACATATCGGATGAACACATTGATTCTATATCTGGGTGGCTTGATGGGAGTTTATAGATTGTGTAAAAAGTAGCCCCGGGATAGTTTGGATTAAGAAGCAGTGCAGTGTTTGTTTAGAGGCATAGCTAGCATGACCTGTATCAGCATGGGTATGGAAATGTGATATGGAACAGCATATATGTCCAACACTGCATGCTTTCCCTAGCAGTCAGCATATTGGAAGACATGGCGTAACTCTGGAAAATGTAGGCCAAGTGCAACTAATTTTTATTAGTATTATTTGCATTATTTTAAAACATCTGTAAAATGAATGAATGTGGTACAAAAAAGTGTTAGCACTTTAGAATAAGGATACATGGATACATCATATATGGATACATATAAACATAACATAGTTAATGCAATAGCTAACATTAAATAATGAACAGCAGTTTTTCAGCAATTATTAATCACTGTTAATGTAAATTATTCTAATATGCTGATTTGCTGCTCAAGAAAAAATATTTCTGTCATGACAATTCTCAGAGGGATTGGCATGGTAATGTATATGACAATGTTAATGTATTTGGTCTTGGCGGAATAGATCTGCTACGCTGCTGCTGCTGTGGCAGAGCAAGTACTGAGACTTGCTACTGCCAATACATCCACAACATGCTGCTGTGAGCATGTAAGAAATATTGCTGCTGCAAGCATAACATACATGAAACAACCCCATATAGCGTACATGAATCACCTCGTAGCAGATCTATACAGGCGGTGCTGGGGAAGGTGGAGGGTTTCTGAAGCAAGCTGCAACTGTTACGGCAAGCACTAGTCATATATTTGAATGTTGAGCAGCGAGCTCATTGGCTACCGATACAGGAGAGAACCAATCAGCTGTGCCATGTGATAATGAAGTCATTAGGTCAGACTGAGTTAGACCTATCGGACTGCGCCATCTAGAGTTTCATGCCAGAACTCTGTATATATAAATAATACTCTTTGATCAATTGAAAGTTTGAAAGGACTGCATCTGAAATCTTATAAATGTCTGTACTGTCACTTTTGATCAATTTAATGCATACTTACAAAGTATTAATTTCTCATATATTGTCTATTGGCTCTTTATTGCAGGTAAGAACAGGAATGGATTTTGTGAGAGAAGTTGAACAGGATTAACTCACAACATGTTCCTGGTTTTGGAAGGATGACACCAAATTTTTAAGGATTAAACACACTGTCATTTTCTCAGACAACCTTGGCATTAAGTCACTTCTGGACCCTAATCTTACTGGATTACGCACCTCATCTGTCTAATGTTTCCACCACTGAGCTTCAGCACGAGATGGTGTGCTGGGAATTTGGCTGTTTGACAGAGACTCGACAGAAATGTCGAAGTCAAGCGGACAGGGGATGTGCAACAGCGAACTTCCCCAGTTCCTTATTGGAAGTGAGGGTGGTGAAAGCAGAGAGCTGGATGACATAGACATGAGGAAGATCTCAGGACATTACAGGGAGGAGGAGGAGGAGGATGAGGATCAGGTACAGAAAATTGTTAATGGACGAGTGAGCTTTTTTTTTAAATTTGTAAGTGATGCTCATGCGATATCTTCTTCTATCAGTCAGAGCGTCAGATTATGGTGGGGATCTGCTCCATGATGAAGAAATCGAAATCCAAACCAATGACTGAGATTCTGGAGAGGCTCTGTAAGTTTGAGTACATCACTGTGGTCATTTTTCCAGAGGAGGTTATACTCAGTGAACCGGTGGAGAAGTGGCCGTTGTGTGACTGCCTCATTTCCTTCCATTCCAAAGGTATCTGACATCACACAGTTCACACGCAATCAGCTTGAAATCTTGATGTGCCATATTGTCTCAGTATTATTAATGCTGCCTTCAAAACAGAAATGAATTACAATTAAATATCTAATAAAAAAAGAAAACAATTATTTTGAATTGTGGTAATTTTTCAAAATTTTTAACTTTTTGCTGTATTTTTGATCAAATAAAATAAATGCAGCCTCAGTAAGCATAAGATAGTTTTTTTTTTTTTTTTTTAATCATAATAGAAAAACATTTCAAAATCTGACAACCCCCCCAAATTGGATGTTAACTGATGCAAATGAATACAATATTTTTTTCTCATCTTGAAGGATTTCCCCTTGACAAAGCAGTAAGTTATACCAAACTAAGAAACCCCCTCCTTATCAACGACCTCAATATGCAGTATTTCATTCAAGACAGGTGTGGTAAATTATTCTCTGAAATATTCTTGACAAGTAAACATTGTTATGAGAGTTGACTGGGACATACAGTATATGCTCATGGCTTTAGGAGGGAAGTGTACAGGATTCTACAGGAAGAGGGCATTGACCTTCCACGCTATGCAGTGTTGAACCGGGACCCCGACAGACCAGAGGGTAAAGATTATTACTGTGGTCATAATTTAGAAGATTTTTTCTGCATGCTTCAGAGTAAAGCGTGGCACTGTTCATTTGCAAGCGTGCAGCTCATGATCCCGTGTTTTCAGTGTCTCAGAGTGGCTCTGTGTTATTTTAGTATCATTGATATGCTGTTATTGTTTTGTTAATATTTTAAAATTAGATTTTATTTTTAGATTTAAAAAAAAAATTGTAATGAAAGTTTTAGTTATTTTGTTGTTTTTGTCGTTTTATTTTTTTATGTTTATATATTTATTACATTTTAGTATTTAGTTTTAGTTTATTTAGTTTTAATTATTTTAGCACTTCATCTTAAACAAAAAGAAAATGAGAAATGTTGCATTGGTTGCCTTGGCAACTTGCTGAAATAAAATAAGTTGTAAATAAGTGTTTTTATGTTTTATTTCATTTCATTTTTATTTTTAATTTTTGTTTTAGTTAATGATAATAACCAATCATATTCCCAAACTTGTAATGAGGAGTGCTTATAACCTGGCAACAAAATTGTTCAATAAAAGAAAAGCTTTAATGGCTCCTTGCGGTTTTCATGAAAATAAAACTTGAAGTTTTAACATTTAAAAATAAAGAAATTAAGACAGATATTAATTTTGTCATTTTACAGCTGCTATACTATAAAATACAACTATTATTATTATTAACTATTATTATTACTGTTATTGAATACTAATTTTTGTAGTAGTAACATTTCTTACTTTATTTTTTTTATTTAGTAATAGTAATAACCACTACAACAACTACTATCATTATTATTTAATTTTATACATCATTATTTAATTGTGTAGCCCTGCAAACAAGCAGAGCAAACCTAGAGATTTAAATCGATATTGCAATTTTTATCAGAGAAATCTAAATTACATATTTTCGCAACATCATGTAGCCCTAATATACTTTCCCTTATGTCGTTTCAAACCTGTATGCTGTTTTATTTTTTGGGTTGAACTGTGCCTTTTAAGTTCCTCATAGTGGGTACCTAAATACTCTGTATTGCGAAAGATTGTGACATTTTGATTTTGTGACATCAGAATGTAACCTGGTGGAGAGCGAGGACCATGTGGAAGTGAACGGGGAAGTGTTTCACAAACCCTTTGTGGAGAAGCCCGTCTCTGCCGAGGACCACAATGTCTACATCTATTACCCAACCTCAGCCGGCGGTGGCAGCCAGCGTCTCTTCAGAAAGGTACAGTACTGATAACTTTTAATAACTTTAGATTTGTTTGGTGTGGAGCTCAAATCGTCCTTTCTGTAGATCGGCAGTCGGAGCAGTGTGTATTCTCCTGAAAGTACCGTTCGTAAGACTGGATCTTACATCTACGAGGAGTTCATGCCCACAGATGGCACTGATGTTAAGGTAAACCTGTATTTCATGACACTACTGTATGTGGTGGCTGGTTAGATTGTTTATTCCTGATGGATGTTTTAGGTTTACACAGTCGGACCTGATTACGCTCATGCCGAAGCCCGTAAGTCTCCTGCTCTGGATGGGAAAGTGGAGAGAGACAGTGAGGGGAAGGAGATCCGCTATCCTGTGATGCTCACCGCGATGGAGAAGCTTGTGGCCAGAAAAGTGTGTCTTGCATTTAAGGTGAGTCTCGCAAAAGAAAAACACAGTGTTTTGTCAGTAGCTGCAGGTTATGAATGATAATGAAAATGTTTTTTGTCTCATAATGTCTTTCCAAACCAGCAAACAGTCTGTGGTTTTGACCTCCTCCGAGCAAATGGCCACTCTTTCGTTTGTGACGTTAATGGCTTCAGCTTTGTAAAGAACTCCATGAAGTATTATGATGATTGTGCCAAAGTTCTGGGGTAGGTGAGGCCGTGTTGCTGTCTTGTTGTCTGTGGTAACTCGAAAATCTCGTCTTCACACAATTTTTACATTTTACAACTACATAACTGCATACACTGTAATTCCCCCCCACTGTAATTTTATTTAATTGTAAATAAAATTAAGATTTTTGGAGTCTTTATACTTCAAAATGTCATATTTAATAAATGTTGTTACTTGCTGTTACTTGTCAAATAATTTTGCCATTTCTCTAAAATTCAACACATACATTAAACTAACACTCAGTTTTATTTTTTATTTTATTTCTCTTTGATCTAAGCTTTGAATTTAAAACGCATCTTTACTGAAAAAATCTAATCTGTTACCAATCTAAACTGGTTTACTAGTTAACCAGTCTAAATTGGTTTACTAGTTAACTAGTCTAAACTTGTTTACTGGTCTCCCAGCCTGTTAAGGCTGATCGGTTGACTGGTTTTAGAGTGGTTTTGGGCACTTTTCAGCTGACCAAGCTAAACCTGCTAAATACTTGGCAGGCTGGGAGCTAGGATCAGCTTGAGCGAGTGAAGACCAGCAAAACAGCAAGTTTTTTATTTATATAGCGCTTTATGCAATTCAGGTCGTTTTAAATCAGCTTAGCAGTAATAAACAAAAAAATAATAGTATTAATGTTACAAAGTTCTTAAATTATGAAACTAATACAATTTCTGTTCTAAAGCTGCTCTAAAAAGACAATAGTGTCATTATCCAGTTCAGTTTAGTCCAGTTCTTTAATAGGGTGAATATTGCAAAGTTCATTAGTTATCAAGTGAGCTCAGTTCAACTACAAAGCAGCTCTATAGAAGGCAATAGTGTCATTATTCAGCACAGATGTATTCATTCCTGTCGTATAAGGTAATTTATAGATATTTTAGCTCATATTTGATGTCTTTCATTCAGGAACATGGTGATGCGAGAGCTGGCTCCTCAGCTCCACATTCCCTGGTCGATCCCCATGGAAGCAGAGGACATCCCTATCGTCCCGACTACCTCAGGAACCATGTGGGTGTACCATTCTTGTCCTAAGGATATATTTCTGTCTCAAAGCTGTTTATTATTAAAACCAATGAGGTAGAATTAAATGCTTACTATATGTGTTGTTGCTTTTGAACATGTCATCTCTTGTCTGAAGGATGGAGCTCCGTTGTGTTATTGCTGTAATTCGCCATGGCGACCGTACGCCCAAACAGAAGATGAAGATGGAGGTCAGGAACGCCCTGTAAGTGACAAATTCTAACAGGCTGCTTTTACACTGCAGCTACATATTGTTATCACTTTTAATCTGAATGCTTATATGTAAAGTAAATTAAATAATTAAACTCAATTAAACATACATTAAGCAACATGAATTAAACAAATGAATTAAACCGAAGTGAACTGAATGATAATTTAGAGGACTCACTTCTGAATTTAAAGTGGTTGTCACATCATGGCAGGGTCAAAGTTGTATCTATGATTGAAGTATTTTATCTGCTGGTTATGTCTGATTCCATTTCTCTCAGGTTTTTTGAGTTGTTTGAGAAATATGGTGGCTATAAGTCTGGAAAACTCAAGCTGAAGAAACCAAAACAGCTCCAGGTGGGTCTGTTTTGAAGTACAAGTGATCTATGCGGTTAATTTATTTTTCTGACAAGTGCTACTTGTTCTGTAGATGCAAGAACCAACATAATATTTCAGTTTCATAACAGGCTTGCCTCCAGCCTAATGATTTACTTTGTACAAGGCCAGGAATTTGCGCCACAGGGTCAAAGGTCAAACAGGATTGAGCTGTCTTTTTTAAGACACATGTAGTGTTATGTCTGGAATGCTTCAGCCTTGAGACTCATCGGCGTGTCATGCATCTGTTGGGTTTTGTGTGAAAATTGACCATGTGGACAGTTGGCTTAAGCTTTGACCTGTTTGATCTTATCGGTGACAATGTGCAGTTGTGATTTGTACATCATTATAAAAACCTGAACACTTTATTTGATGTTTTACAGGAAGTGCTGGATATTGCTCGTCAGCTGTTGGCAGAACTGGTCCTACATAATGATTGTGAGATTGAAGAGAAGAAATCCAAACTAGAACAACTGAAGACGGTTCTGGAGATGTAAGTAAACTGTTCAGTAGTACCAAAACCCTCCATTTCCAACACTGTGAGATTATGGAAAGCTACTGTACACACACCATCATCTCATCTCAATCATTTCTAAAACATGTTGGATTCCTTCTGTCAACTGAAAATTCTCACTTCTCTTTTCACATCTTCGGGCAAAGGTCTTGCTGAAAGTATAATAATTTCCAGACATATATTGTATTTTTGATTAACTTCACTATTGATATTAGTAGGCCCTCATGGAATGTGCACAAATGCTTGCATATTTTCTACACATAGTTTTATCAGTTTAGCCAAAATGGAATAACTGGAATAGAATTAATTATTGGTTACTTTTGAAATTAAAATGTAAGATTAAAAAATAATATTATGTCGGCATCGATAGCCTCATGGGCAGCGCGCCGACATACAGCATCGTTGCACTACGGGCCTCTCGAGTTCGAATCCTGGCTCGAGGACCGATCCCGCCCCCCTATCTCTCACCTACTTCACTTCCTGTCATCGCCACACTGTCCTATCATAATAAAGGCAAAAATGACAAAAATAAATCTAAAAAATAAATAAATAAAATAATATTTTAAAATAATAATAATGTAAATAAATGATTTTTAAGTCATTAAAAAATATTTAAAAACTTACAAGTAATAAGTTTGACTTACTTGAAATATATATATATTTTTTATTCTCAGATGTAACATCACTGTTAATGGTTGCTAAATAAGCTAAACTCAATGCATTTAACTGTAACTAGATACTGTATAGATATTTCAATTTTGCTCAGTACAGAAAAGTTGATAATTAATTGTTTATTTTATGGTCAAATAGTGAAAATGAGCATGTACAATAAAATGTCCAATATTGACCTCTACCGATAAATGTAAAAAAAAAATATTTAATATCAGCTGGTTAAATACATGATACCGATATTTTGCATCTCCCTAGTTGTACCAGTGAAATTTAGCTTTTAAGTTTAGAGTCTTTAGAGTTTAGAGTTTTAGGCAAAACCATAAAGAAAAATCAGTTTGCTGACCTTCTTGGGAATCAGGGCAAGCCTAATCAGACTTGATTTTGTTGTTAACATGACACACATAGCCAAAATTTACTATCATATCTTCTAGTCTTAAGCATCATGGATGCGTATTTCAGGAGAAACCTGATATTTCATGAACAGCTGAGTGTATGTAACTGACTTTATTGTGACCTTGACTCATTTGCTTCCTTAGATGTCCTCATATGGATGAGTTTCTTAACTTCATTCCTTTTGTCTCTCTTCTCCTCTCTTTGTGTCCCTCTTTGTGTCTTGGCCGTTCTCTCCAAAGGGAATCCAGCCTGAATAATAATCAGTGCGCACCCTCATATCCCCTGTCTCTTTAGAAAGCAGGCAAAGTGGATCATAACCCTCATTAACCCAAGATCTTGTTCAAATTACTGACACTTTAATGAGGGCTCCAAAATTGACCGTACCTTGGAGATGAATCCCTTTTGCAATTCTGTGTGGCATCTGCATGCCATTTTGTTTCTAATCTCTCACGATCCCTCACTTCCTCCAGACCCCCTCACATAGCTTAAATGTGGCACCTAATCAACACATTATCGGTTGTTCGGGGTCATGGATTAACTAGGAAACAGGTGCTTGGGGAAGTGCCTTGCTTTGGGTTGATTAAACATAATGCAGCAGAGCAAATTCACTCCAGAGTCCGTTTCTGGCCAGTGAGAATAAGAACCACCTTTAGACCCGATTTAGACCAAGTTGTATCAAATTAGAAATATTCTAAACTACGAATACACTGATATTACAAATCTGGCCAATATTAATTAGCCAATAAGTATTTGGATATTATGGCTTATAACTGATATTGGTCAGTTATCGGTTATTAGCCATAATATCGTGGAATAAATTGTGGAGATAAATTGTAGAGACCAACTACAACCAGAATTTCCACTCTCCACTGTATTGTGTAACCTAAAAGCATGCCAGATGCCAATAATTATTTAAAGTCTCTTGTGCTCACCAAGGTTGATTATATTTGATAAAAAATACAGTAAAAACAGTAATATTGTGAGAGATTATTACAATGTAAAATATCGGTTTTCTATTTAAATATATGTAAAATGCTATTTATTCTTGTCATGCCAAAGCTAAATTTTCACGTCTTTCAAATGTCTTTTACTGTCACTTTGGTTCAGTTTAATGCATCCTTTCCAAATAAAAGTATTAATTTCATAAAAAATGTCTTACTGATCCCAAACTTTTGAACATATTTTGAAAATATGCTTTATATAAAAGATATTTTGAAACATTTTTCAATAAATTATAGAGACCAACTCTCCAGAATTCCCCACTCTCTGCTGTATTGTTTAACTTGAAAACGTGACACTGTTGCAGATGCCACGTTTTATTCCTCCCAAAGCTTGTCATTCCTGTAGAGACAGTCCTGGTATGGCACAGATTAACCCCTGCCAGCTTGGGAAGGTCACTCAGATACATGTTTCCAGAAACATGGAGGCCACAGAGCACTTGCTAGTGGTTTGAGCGCAGTGCTATGTCTGATGCGTGCTGTCTGTGTTGTTTAGTGGGAGAATGCTCATTAAGAGGGGGTGGTATGTTTATGTCCCCCACCCCGTGTATTGTCTTTCAGGTATGGCCATTTCTCAGGGATCAACAGGAAGGTGCAGCTGACCTACCTGCCAAATGGGCAGCCCAAAGCATCCAGTGAGGAGGAAGGTATGTGCACAGTAGGCTTGCTGCGATAGACGGTGTTTTCGGTTATACCGGTGTTAAGCCGCAACACCGGTTACATCATTTGCCTACTGTGGAACCGCCCCCCCCCACCGTCGTTTAATTTTTTTTTTAGTAACAAAAATAATTTAGCCTAGTTCAGTTAGAGGACAGACACTTTTAAAAACTAAACACACAATGGAGCGTGCCGAACCGTGCGTGAATGACAGTGCACCACGGAGCAGGAATCAGATTTTATTTATCACATGAGGAGAGTGAGTCGAGCTGACTGACGAGGGAGTTGAGAAAGACAAGACGATGGCAGAAGATTGTTTAGAAAGGAAATGCAAAGGCTATGTTTGGCAATATTTTAGATTTTGAAAAGCCTATTGACTGGAAGTTTTTTTAAACATTCGTTTCTTATTTATTTGGTTCCACAGTGTTTGCTGATTACTTCATTTAAACTTTGTGTATTTTATTTATTTTATTTTACATCAAGGTGTATATGCCGTGCCTCCAAGCTTTCTTATTCGTTTTGCTAATAAATGTTCTATGTTTCTTATTTATTTGGTTCCACAGTTTTGCTGATTTGCAGTTTTATATACCTATTTAAACTTTGTGTAGCCAAAGTAATTTGTTATTTTATTAGGCATATATGGTGTATTTTTATTCGTTTTGTTAATAAAAGTTCTATGTTTTATATATAGGCAAAAGTGAGTTTGACGTTGTTGTTGCTTGAATTGAGTCAATGCGGAATTGCTGCTAATTTGAAAGTGAAAGTATAACGTGCACGGCGCTTTTTCTAGCTATTTGAAAGCCAAGAAATCCGAGGAAAAGAGGGAAAACTCAAATGAACAATTGCTTGACGCCGAATTGCATCACTTTGAAAGTGAAAGTAAAATGCGCACGGCACTTTTACAAGCCATTTGAAAGTGAAGAAAAGAGGGAAACTCAAACGAACTAACACCCCCCCTCCCCCAACAGTGATACCGGTATTACCGGTGTTGTCACACGTCGATTAACCGGTGGGAAAACTTCCTCACCGTCACAACCCTAGTGTACAGTATGTATATATGTTGACTCAAAATAGCTGTTGCATCACTTTTGACCTCTCTGTGTCTATGGCAGACACTCTGAAGGAGGGCCCGTCTCTACTGCTGGTGCTGAAGTGGGGTGGTGAGCTGACGCCAGCGGGTAGAGTTCAGGCTGAGGAGCTTGGACGAGCCTTTCGTTGCATGTACCCTGGAGGACAAGGTATAACTCTATGCTTGCACCAGCCAGAAAGCTGTACTGATAAACTGATTAGAAATACAGTGGCCCTAAAAAGTATTTTGAAAATAATTTTGCACATTTTGCCACTGAATAAAAAAGGTAATTGCGAATATTTATCTTGCAATTCTGAGAAATGAAGTCAGAATTGTAAGTTTATATCTTGCAGTTCTGATTTTTTTCTCAGTATTGCATGATATAAACTTGCAGTTGCAATTTATGAAGTCAGTACTGCATGATATAAACGCAATTCTGAGAAATGAAGTCAGAGTTGCGACATAAACTCACAATTTTGACTTTTTTCTCGTATAATGATGCAATTGCGAGAAAAAAAGTCAGAATTGTGAGACATAAACTCAGAATTGCAAGATACAGACTTGTATATCTTGTATTTTAACTTGCTATTCTGACTTTATAACTCACAATTCTGAGTTTATATCACACAATTCTGGGGAAAAAAGTCAGATTTGCGAGTATATAACTCGCAATTCTGACTATAACTCTAACTTTAAAAATGTATTAAAATATCCTCTTATAGTCAGAATAGCCTCAGATCTAAAACCCAAAAATATGTATACTTAAACTTATACAAATAGTATTAAATATTGAAGATATATTGAGACATTAATGTTATAAAAATTGTAATTTTTGTGAATCCAGCCTAAGTTGTTAACAGGAACAGTTGTTTTGATAAAGATCTTGATAAATTGGATGCTTTGACAAGATATTGTGTCTGTTTTTAGGTAGTGGGGCAATGATGCAGTTTTTCAAAGCTCATAGCTTTGGGCAGGAAACCTGTTCCACCTGCTTGTTGAGTGGGATTGGCATACAAAAGCATGTAGGGGCAGGACTCAGGGAGGCATGAATACTTTCTTTACCTCAAGTAGCACCTTTAACTTTCAGTACGCCAGCACAAAAACTTCTTAGTCATGCTGTGGATTCTTTCCTGTGTAGTTCCATCACTTCCCCCCGGACCTCGAATTTGAGTCCATATTTGCATGCTGCAACTAATTGAGTGTAACTCATTAAATGTTCACAGACTTACAAAGACCAAACCATTTTCTCTCATTAGACTGAGTCAGCAGCATCTTGCAATGCTGGTTAATGTGGTGTTCTTTTACCCTGAATTGTTAACTAGACAGCTGCAGGTCCCTTGGCTGTGAGTCCCCTATTGACTGTGGTAAGAGATTTTGGATTTGTGCGTGGTCTTGATATTGGGTTAATGCATCATCTGCCCCATTCATCAATTTAATTGCTTAACATCCATCTCATTAAACTAATCCAAACAGAAGGATGCCACAGGAACATTCCATACTTCGCTTTTGCCACGGTTTTGTGTGGAAGATTCCATGATATGGACATTGGTCATACTTTGACATACTGAGATAAATTATCATAGTTCATGAGATTTTTATTTTTTTACTTAGTAAGTTTATTTTTGTCACCATAGAGAGTTTGAAATTGTAGTGTTACAATTTTTTTTCTACAGATTTCTTTGGAGATTTTCTTTAAAAACCTTTATTAAACTACTGTGCCATTATTTTAACAATCTGTGGCATCAGTTTCAAGGCATGTCAGTCCAATATCTTGTCTAAATAGGTGGAATAAGACATGTCATCCAGATTTTTCAGATGGTTTAAACTTTCTTTTTTATGAAAGACTATTAACACCACATAAGAAAATTAAAAAAAACATGCTTTTGGCATAAAAAAGTCATATTTATGGGATGCAAAAGTCAAATTATTACATATTACTGTAAAGCATAATTATGACAAAGTCAAAATTGAGTTAAAAATCATAAGACATTAAAAAGTAAAGTTTGAGATTGATTTAATATGTAATAATTAGATTTTTCATCTCATAAAATACTTTTTTGTCTCAATTTCAACTTTTTTCATAATTATTACGTTATTTTTGCATAAAGTGTTGATATTTTATGTCATGATTATGACGTTTTAAATAATTTTTTATGTATGTAGTAATTAATAGTATCTAAATATGCTTTACCAAATTATGATTTACCTTTTTTTCTTATGTGGTGGAAATGGGCTACATAAATGCTACAGGACATGTTCTTGCATTCAAAACCAGCTTCATGAAGCACATTGTACATCTCAAAATTGTAAAAAAAAAAAACTGTCTTAAAAATGTTATATTTACATCGTAATGGCTAAATATCTCCATTTGACACTTGCTTACATGGACAAAAAGAACGGATGGACCACGAGAATGCATCCTGTGTGAATGGCGGTTTGTTTTAGGGGACTCATCTGTTCTCTCAAATGGACATTCTGGAATCTTAAATCAGAGTTCTGTTTGCTACTCAATAGTGCAATGCAACACTCATGTGAGAAGCACCTAAACCAGTGTTTCTCAACTGGTGGGTCGCGGAGAGTACGGCCAAAGAAATGCCATCAACAACAAAAAACGTAATTCTTAATGTTTTTCTGATGCGAGACTTTTATTTTAAAAGACGTGCATGAGAGCTGTTGACACTTCTGTCAGATGCAGTTTAAAGGGGTCATATGATGTTGCTAAAAAGAACATTATTTTGTGTATTTGGTGTAATGAAATGTGTTTATGCGGTTTAAGGTTCAAAAAACACATTATTTTCCACATACTGTACATTAGTGAACATTTGGGCAGCATTATGCAAATCTTCCCAAATCGTGATGTAGACATGTGGGGGTGTGTTAGAACGAGCTGTTTTAGGTAGGCGTGGTTGACTCTTAACTTTTATAAAGAATATCTCTTTGGATTTGAGACTTTAGTCTTTGCAACTTTACAGATCTTCTTTATGCACCAAGAGCTTGTAACACTCCAAAGAGAAAGGAAAAATTGAAATCGCATCATATGACCCCTTTAAGTAAAGAGTGCCTGAGAAAAGCGTGCTGTCCCGATTCAGTATCTGCGGTCAGATGAGTTGACAGGCTTAATGTCAGTGTCATTATTCAATCGTAATTTTCGTAACTTGCTATGAAATAAAAAGTCTCTAATCTTAGAAAAACCTGCCAAATGTTATACCGTGTTCGTAGCGCGCACTGTTCAAAAGC